TTCATTTTATTATTAATTTTGATATTTCATTTATAGAAAAATGTCATAACTGAGATTAATATAAAAATAAGATCATATAAATTTCATAAGATGATACTGATACTTGTAGGTACCCTCCCCAGTTGAAATTGAAAAATCAAATTAACTTCTCCACATGTGTTTCGTAAAAGTAAATGCCTTAACAGCAGAGAACAATGCTTAACTCAAATAATGCAACTTAATTGTTTTCTGGTTGGTCTTCCGTACTTTATAATTACAGCCCAATTATAAACATAAAATTACATTTCTTAATTACTGCAGATCTTCTGATAAGTCAAAACGATACAATTTACCCACTGGAAAGCGGATGAGGATTTTAACTAATTTTAACAACTTAAATGTAAAATTATAATTAAAGAAATAACAAATAATTGTATTAAAAATTCATTTTTCATCGAAAGAATTTTTTGCTTTCAGAAAATATTGTCCATATTCATAAAAACAACTAAAAGTAAATAAAAGCATTTGAAATTAAATAATATCTGTTTTATTGAGTTTTGTATGTTACAATTCAGAGCTGATTTTCAGGTAGGGGGGAGTCCAATTAAAAAAAAAATGATTTGCATTCCTCAAAGCCTTGTGCTTTTAACTATTGTAATCACTAAACTGGATTTGATTGAATTTCTAGCGTTTTCATAAAATTAGTTATGGGGGGGAGGTAATAAATATAAAAAAAAATATTTCTGCCATGACTTTAATAAAAAAAAAACATATTTATAATAATTTCGATCATCTGTGAATAGTATCTGAAAGTTTCATTAACATCTGACAATTATTTTTGCAAGATTTTCCAAATTAATATGTGTCATACAAAAAAAAAAAAAAAAAAAAAAGTGTTAAAAATTGTATTACCAGTTCCGGTGATACAAAGAGAAACAAGTTTTTTTTTGTTTTTTTTTTTAAATCAAAATTTAGAATGTTCTAAAAAATAAAAGAAATAAAAAAATTTTTTAAAATAATTAAAAAAAACTTTGGTCTTTCCTCTTAATAATGACAAGCATTTAGACAATAAAATTTTGTTTTTGTCAAGTTTGGCGACTTTTTCATCTTACTATGCTCTTTTTTTAGTGATCTCATATATATATATATACACACACACAAACTTATACAATATTGTAATTAAATAGCAGTTGATTTTTCTCTATCACAAAATTATATTCAGATTATCTTCAATGCTGACAATTTTCTGAATTATTTAACAAACTTTTAAATCATTGATTTGTTAATATTACTTTGAATAAAGACAGCAGTTTATTTATATATTTTTATTCTTTTATTGTAGATAAAGAGAATCTTGTGCATATAAAAGATCTAAACAACATAGTTAAGAATAATTTATTCTTTGGGGGGAAAATGTATAACAAAGTGAAAAAAAGTTTTTGTGTGACATGTTTTGTCCTTTAGGACATCATTAAACTGAATTTATTACATTGGTGCAACTACATATGTGCATGAATGAGGATGCTGGGAATTTTAAATTAATTTTTTTATACATATAATCCAGCTGACTTTATTTAGATTCTTTTTTCTTTTTGTTTCCATCACTTTTTTATTATATATCCCACACTGTGATAATAGAAGATCTGCCAAGAATGTTCAAATGCTGTAAGAGACAGGGTGCAAATTTACTGTGGATAAACTTGCAATCAAGGCACTCTCTAAACATTTTCATCATAATGAATTGTTTTCTCGTTTGATCAAAGTAGCATTTTTTATGACAAAAAAAAAACCACTGTTTACAATTGGTCTTCAGATAAAATTCAAACATTACCTTATTCTTTGAAAGCAGAGATCTTTGGGTGTATTTCTCATTTGATTTGATTTTAGAATTATCTCATTTGAAGACAAAGTGACTTGCATAATTAATGGATATTTACTTGGTTAAGCCAAACCTGGGAACTAACTAGTGATGTAGTTGGAGTCTATCTATGTTATTCATTCCTTTTTCTAAATTCTTTCATTTAAAGTCAGGGAAGGACCTTATTCTAATAAGGCATATCTATAGGATAAGTGAAAACTTTATAGGTGAACATTTCCTTCTCCACATAATGTAGCATGGCACCAAATAATTTCACTTGGTATTTACTGAAGTCAGATATACATCTGTTCAGCCTACAATTCTCATTTCTATCATAAATTCTAATGAAAAAAGTTAATAACAAAATCAGATTTATATAATAAATAATTATTAAGTGTTAATCTTTTGACATTAAAACATCTGAACAAGACCAAACCTTTCTTTAATATATATTTTTTTTCTGCACAAGAATGTATACTTTTGTACAAAAAATACATATTTACATATAAACAAAAGTAAATAAACACAAATTTTTTCAAACAAAAACTTCTATTTAACAATCTAAACAATTCTTGAAGATTTTATTGTACAGATTAAAATTGAACTTGCCATTAGCAGATTATAAAAGCTTTTACTTTGTTCAAGTATTTAATTTACAAGATCGGCTATCTTCTCTTGTTGGATATATAACCAGGTTCCTGTTAAAACACAAAGTAAATAAAAGGTTCTCTAAACATTTTACTTATTTTAGATCTAAAATAGTATAGGCATGTTCATATAGAGATAAAAGTTACTTTATTCTAAAGTTTTATTTGTTGTATTTATTGTGGAACAGCATCCTCTATTAAAACAAAGATATTTTGTTCAAACAAACATCTGGGGAAATGGATATGCAATTTTCTTAACAGATATTCTCAAACACATAAACAAAGCTCAAAAAAAAATCATTTCTTACATAACCAAAAGTCTATCCAATCTTGATATTTTGTGGCTTATACAAATTCTTTAGACAAATATTATTCATCTGTTGTTTGAAGGTTGAGTGAATGAGACATCATCTGAAAAGATGACAGTGTACCCAAATTTTGAGTCAGTCAATTTATTATTGCTTTTAATTAACTTTTTTCTGGTTGCTCTGCATGTAATAATTACTATTCTTTAGTTTATTTGGATACATTTGCCATATTGCAATTTTTTTTAATTTCTCATAACATGAAAGTATACCTAAATAAGAAAGTAGTTTTCTTTATTAGTGAACAGTACAATCACATTGTTTACAGAAGAAAGTGGAATTCTAAACGCTGGTTCATTCTATTTTTTAAAATATGATAAATTTCTATGCTAAATATCTAGAGTATGAGGCATTGTAAAATGATTATGTTGTTCCTTCTGTTGAATACCAAATTGAATATTAAATATCAAAAATTCATATTAAAATAATGGCATCTATGAAGGGTTACTGAAAAGCTTCTAGCTCAACCCATTACTAATTATTTGAGCAAATGATTAAACATCAGAATTTGTGTTGAAATAACTTCTTGGTTCTGAAAACCAAAATTATTTAAATATTGATTTTGGAAAGTGGATTGGGCTGATAACTTGATATTTTGTCAACATTATTGTACTTCTTATCTCATATTTATTTCACATATGCACATTAATTCCAGTTTTTTTCTTTTTTCAGAGGAAAATTTATCTTTAATCAAATCATCTCTCAGAACAGCATTGTCTATAAATAGTGCCAATGCATTTTTATTTATATAGGATATATATAAAATAAATGCTATGACAATGTTTGACAATTTGTTAATAAAAGTACAGATTATCAAAATAGATGTCTATTTTTCTACAGGAGAAAATTTTAATTTCCATTCCTTTCTTTATTCCATTACAAAATATTACTAATACCTAATGGAATCCGCCATACTTCCCTGTCCCCCCACTACTGGAAGATGCACTCTTCACCTAATTAACCTTTAACCAATCATCACTTCACTTTTCCAAACTCAAATTCCCATTGGTTAAAAGGACACAAAAATGTAGCAAGTTGAGATAAATCCTTTTTTTCCACACAGCTGTCTGGGAACCTATTTGAAAATCCCAAAAATCTATAAAAAAAAGAATCACTCGACTTGACTAAAGTCAGTCAGACACTGAGTTTCGAGAGATGCCAACAGGCTCCACACGTGCCAACACACTGACTCAATAGCACTACCAGCCTCTCATCAGCTCAACACAACTTGTACTACTATTGCCGCATGAAGAAACTTACAATTTACTAAAAAAGTGACATTCTTACTACAGAATAGTAATTGTACATTTAATCAATTTTAGCATATCAAAGGCACACAACTCTGCATAACTTGAACCAACACTTACAATCATCACACATACACACTATTGTTTGAACTCACACAATTGGCATTTTACCATAAACCATCAACATTCACTCACCAAATCTCTGCATGGACACTCTTTGCAATCTTATCTCACTTGCCACATTTAACACGTTATTATTGAAAGCTATAACTACGTTGTTTTTTCCTTGATTTCTTCAAGTTGTATTGTCTTCATGTTCATTTATTTGTTGTGGATAAATGCATAATGAACATACACATTTTAGGCCTTCACACAATTTCACTGACACATCTTAGTATAAATTCTGGAACCTCATCAATAAATCATTTAGTTTTTTTTTTGTTCAATCTTTTCAACTTATTGTCATAATAGCAACAAAGATGAGGATATCAACCGAGATGATAATCTTAAATAATTATTCTCATTTTACAATAAACAATTTTTTTAATAATTTCACAAAATATGATAGAATTTTAAAAATCAGCTTCAAGTTGAATTAGCAGTGTATACTGTAAAATCAAGAGAACTGAAATTTAATTTTTTTCTTTTTTCTTAATATTTCAATACAATTTTCTCCTTATTTCTGTTCTTTAGTGACTCAACAAAACATTGGTTTCCAGTCCACTTATTTGCACTCTACTTGATTAACAAAAAGCAAAAGTGCTGTGAGGAAAACATTTTTGTAGGAAGGAAGTGGACTTGTGTTTTGGACCAGGCCAAGGAACCCTTCTTTGATTGGTCAGTCTAACACTCAAAAAAGAAACACTTGACTAACACCTACAGTACGGAGCCAAATAATACTCACGTAGTTTATTCATTTCTCGAGCAACAACGTCTTTCCTAGCGGTACTGGCACCAACAGATTTTCGTCGGCGGATGGGCAGGCCATGTCTTTTCATAAAAAAGTAACACCAATTAGTTGATGCTTTAAAACTGCTGTTAGGTTCCAAATCTTTTGTCAGGTGAAGCGCTTTCAGCCGTATCTCCACCATGCTCACTGTGTGACCCTGAGCTGCTCTTTCGTGGATGTACTGTATCAGTTGTTTTTCTAGTTCAGGGTGATGAACCTTACTGCCCCGACCGGGCGCTTTCGCTGTCTTTCTCTGACATTTTATAACATCCTTTGTTTTTCTCCATAGACGAACATTTGTTTCACTTATTTTAAACTCTCTAGCGGCAGCACGATTTCCCTTTGTTTCAGCGACCTCGATTACTTGAAGTTTGTAAGCAGCGGTATAACTGGCTCTTCTTTTTCCACTACCAGTATTCTTGGATTCTTGTTGGTTTATTGGAGTAAAAGACATTTTGGGTTTCAAGTTCAAAGAGTCGAGAGAGCGCAAGTCGTTTGTTACGTTAAATTAAATTTATCAAATAAAGGAAGTTCATGATTAATTTGAAGTAATTGCGAGGAAAATGCCGTAATGTTATTGTTGATAACATTAGTTTTTCTTCATAATTGGTAAATATTGAAAAATAAACTTAGATATTTTTTTCTTTTTACATCAGTAACGCCCGCAAAAAGGTTTTTTCAATATACAATAATTCAATATTTATCAACAGTTAATTCAAATTGGTTATTAATTTTAGTGTTTTTCCTTACCTTTTGTCAGCACAGCCTCGTTTAAATGACGTTAAATATATTTAAAATATTAAATAACCTCGAGGTAATTATAAAATAATTATACAGAATATGCGCATTATGCGAAGGTGCGCGTTATAATCGGAGTTTTCCTTTGGACGATAAAACAGAAGAAAGTGAGGAATGAAAGAAGAAAACGTCACTTCCGCCATGTTTAAGTGAAAGTAAAGTTTGAAGTTAGCTCCCTTGAAAATGAAATATATTGTACGCATATTTTATTTCTTTAAAATTAAATACCAAGTTAAATATTGGGGATGGAGTCAGAAAAACTTATTTGATTATGCTTGTTGACGAGCTTGAAGTATGTTTAACTTAAATATGACATTGAGAAAGCCGGATGATTGACTGATAATGTAAGTAAAAATAAACATGCGGAACATAACTTGCATTGTGCAGAGCCACGTGACGTGAATTATTTTTTGGTGTGCTTCGGCTTTTAATTATTTGGTTAAGTTGATTTAACTAATTTAGTGGAAAATAAACTAGAAATAGGCCTTTAAACACAAAATCTAAGGTAACTAAATGCTAACACCTAAGTTTTGGTAAACATTTTTTTAATTATCGGAAGCTAGAATAATAATAGTCAAAAAATAAAAATGCACGGTTTGTTTACGGTTAGTTGTGGGCTAAAATGTATTATCATGTATTACAAATACTGAGTATATAAATAATGTATATAATTGTGATATGAGTGTCTGATAGTATCACAATACAAAGAAAAGGAAAAATAGAATGGAAAGATAAGTAAACATTTCCATGTAATGAATGGAAAACGTAACAAACTTCCTCATTTAATGTACTAATTTTTTTAGTAGACTATTGGGTTTAAGAAGCAAAAATGGAGTTTTACGGGTAAAAACAGAAATTTTAAATAAATAGATCGTTTTAAAATGAAATAGTAAGTTCAGGTCAATCGAAATAGGAATGAACTGGGAATAAAGATTTGACCACTTCAATTTCTTAATTTGATTTTTTTTTCAACAACAACATATTTCTTATTACTGTGTTTTACATTTGTTCCATCAGTTATAATAACTGTTATATGAAGTTGCTTGAAAAAGATAATAGTTATCTTTTTCAAGCAACTTCATAATTCCATTCTACCAGAATGTCTTTCTCAGGAAAAAATAGGTTTTTAGAGATGTCTTTTGAAATCTTTCAAAGAATTGAAATTTCTTTCATTTAAGAGATGAAATTATGGTCAATGAGTGAAAACTACCCAGCCAAGTTGCAATATTTTTTTGGTAATCCTTCACTTAAAATGGCATAAAATAAAAAACTGTTATTCCCTGATGAACAACATAAAATCATTAAGATCAACGTATATGTGTTTATTGCAATTAAAAATTATTACAAACAACAGGTAATGGTGGACTATGCAGAAATACATGCTGAAAGGACGGGACTGTTCTTGTACCGTTGACACCACAGGAATTCGTGAAAATGTGACGTAAACAGTGCCTCAAGCTTCAAACTGTCGATGCAGTTTATGCTTCAATCTTTTCATGGACATCCAAACATTTTCCCCGTTTTGAGGATGGATGGTGTCATCAGGATCCACAAAACAGAATGCTGCTGATGGATAACGATGTCAACAGAATATTATATTCCATACATTATGGAGTGGACAAGGTCCGACAATTATTTTATGACATTTTTTTGGATACAAATATTTAAGTAAATGCTCTGTTTATAATAAATAGTATTAAACAACATTTACCGGCTTGAATGTCCGAGAAATTTTCACAGAAAATATTCGTCCTTCGACAGGATTCGAACCTGTATCCTATACGGAACCGTCATTTAGCTTGATGTACCATAACCGATTTGGTCACAGAGGAGGGTTCGGTTAGCAAGGTTGAATTTACTACTGTCTTTTAAACTTCAATCATCCATGAATCTCTCACGTACATTCATATCTGCTCAAAGGGCATTCAAATGTAAACAAATGACGTCACACATTATGAAATGGACAAACTCCGACATATATTTTCTGTGAAAATTTCTCGGACATTCAGGCCGGCAAATGTTGTTTAATACTGTTTATCATAAACAGAGCATTTACTTAAATATTTGTATCTATAAAAAGAAAATGTCTTAAAATATATTCCATGTTTGATTTCCTTGATTCCAGCATAAGCAACCCAGCCATCTGAAACAATATGGTTTCCAGGCTGAATATCCCTCAAAAATTGCCTCTGAGTCTTTGATCGTCCATCCAGCACCTCAACTAATAAACATTTTCCCAAACCCCCTGTCAATACAACTGAATACCCAGAGCATCATTGGCCGCTGTGATATTTACAATACTGTTTAATTGAAACATTACTCATTTTTTTTACCTGATTACCAAAGGAATTAGCATTATGATGGATTATGGAATATTAAGTTTTCTCTTTAATAATTTTGAATGAACACTTTTCATTAATAGCTACCTTCATTTCTTCATCATGAACTACTTGTTTGATTGGTTTGTTTTGCTTTACAGCATATCAACCTCAATAGGTTATTTAATGCTGACAAGATTTTTTATTGCTGGTAATTTTTTTTGCAAAAATGTATTGCTAGTAATAATGTATTGCTGATAATTTTTTTACAAAGTATTTCTGGTATTAAAACCTATTTTTACACTTTCATAATGTTTTGATTCCAGTTTGGGGGTTAACCATTTACCCATAGCTGGGACCCTAACAGGTGCTACCATCCCAGGTCAGGGTGGACTTGGGAACACCAGCCATTAAGAGGTGGTTCTACACTCCTCAATGCCTGATCAGAAGCCTTGCTGTCAGACATAGTTTATCGTCTTACCCAGGACATGGATGTATCAGGTCATCCTATAAGTTCTGTCCAAATTTTGAATAAAGAAAACAAATGACCAAATGTTACATTTAATTACAGATTCAATCAACAATGTATTTTCCATGATTATCTATGACTTCCTTCCATCTATTAACAAACTTACTAATTCCATTACTATAAAATTCTTTTGGCTTTGATTCGAAGAACTCACAAATGTCAGTTTTAACCTCTTCCTGTATTACAAAAAGCTGTTTCTTCCAAATTATTCTGTAAGCTCTGAAACAAATGGTAGTCTGAAGGAGCAAGAATAAAGGTGGATGAGAATTTTCTCCCAACCAAGTTCTTTGATCATTTGTGATGTGATTCTTGCTGTGTGTGGTCGCGCACTGTCCTGATGAAACATCACCTCTTTTTGATTCACTAGAGCAGGTTTTTTTTTCCTCAAAGCTTGGTTCAAACGCTCTAATTGCTGACAGTATATTTGAGCATTAATTGTTGCATTAGGTGGTAAGAATTCAAAGTGGATTATTCCTTGGCAATCCCACCAGATTGAAAGAACCTTTTGCCCATGAAGTTCCCTTCTTGGCTGTGGCTGGGGTCCTTCCCCTTTACCAAGCCACTGTCTACGATGTTTAACATTTCAATAAAAGATCCATTTTTCATCGCCACTTACAAGTCTATCCAAAAAATGTGAAACAAGTTGGCGAGAATGGAGAGAAGAGCAGATGTCAACTCGGGATTTGAGGTTGTTTTCAGACAATTCATGAGGCACCCATTTTCTAAGTTTAGGAACTTTTCCAAGTTGTTGAAGATAACGATGAACAGTTGTATGGTTTGAACTGAGAACCACTGCCAATTTCTCAACTAATAAAGTAGGATTTTCTTCAAGGGCTGCTTCAAGAAGCTTTTCATCAAGCTCAACTGGACGTCTGGTTCAATCTTCAAGGGTGAAATTTTCACCTCTGAATTTTGCAAACCATCTTCTGCAAGTTCTTTCATTCACACATTCCTCTCCATAAACTGAGTGAATGTTTCTAGCTGCTTCGGCTGCTGAGTTTCCTTTCTTGAACTCATAAAGCATTACGTACCTCAAATGATTCTTGGGTACTTCCATGTTAGCAGGGTTTTAATCAAACAAAATTTAATTTTATTGTTCTCTGAAATAAAATTTGATCAGTATAAATGCATCTAAACATAAAAATAATGTTCAGCTCCATTAGACATTATAAAATACTCTTTAAATTTCGTTCATTTTAAAAAAAAAGGTAAATTTCGGACAGAAATTATGGGATGACCTGATAGTTTATCATCATACTCAGGATGGTATTTGTTTCAAATAATCCTATACTTTTTGAGAAAGAACCCATAGTAAAGCTCTCCCTTCTAATCCAACCATGTACACAACATCACCTTCTTTGGATGAAGACTGGCCTTTAATAGGGTTAATAGTGTTTCATTTTG